CAGCCGCTCCGCGGCTTGTGGGATCTTCCCGGACCAGGGCACAAACCCGTGTCCCCTGCATCTGCAAGCGGACTCTCAACCACTGCACCACCAGGGAAGCCCAGGAAAAGTGAACTTTTAATTTTGTTCTGGAAAAAAAAAAACCTTCAGTATAACCCAAAAGAACAAAATGGGTTATATTGCATTTTAAACTAAGATTACAGCTACTACTTTTAAGTAAGAATGATTGCAGTTTGGGGAGAAATGTTCTAAACAAGGAAATGGAAGCTGAAACAGGAACCTATCCAACCTCTGGAAGAGGAAGTTCTGACCAGCCAAATCTCCTGGGGCCAAAGCCTCCAGGATGAATGGGGCAGGAAGCAGCCCAGGAACCCATGGAGGAGTGGTCAGCCATGCTGATGTGGAAAACCGTCGCACTTAAGTCACTTCTCTCCCTGGTCCTTGGTCCGGGGTCTTGAGAGCGTAGGAGAAACAATGACGCCCATTCGGGCTGTCTAACAGCTGGCATTTTTGGAATTGCCAGAGAGCTGTGGAGGTCAGGGCAGAGGCGGCTGTGGGCGTGCTGTAGACTCCGGGCTCAGTGGGTGCAGCAGACATTCTTACCTGCAACCGAGGCCCTCAATGAGGTGGGAAGTTGTCGACTCCCTGATCACTGTCTTGTTCTCAGCCTTTTGGGTCTCAGCAGAAATGAGCCTGAAACGGTCCTATTACTCCATTCTCCTGTCTAACAATTCAGACACGTCACGAACAGCCTCCGTACGCCCAGGGGACCCCTCGCCAACCTTCTGACAGTGGAACAAGAAAAAGTAAAGTCAGTTTTATTGGCAACACCTACCTTCCGACAGCAAAAACCGTCAAGCCCACGGTAATTTTCTGTTTGGCATAATAATTTTCTAGGATAGCTCTGTTGTAGGTGCCTTCCCACACCACCGGCGCCTTCCATCCGGTCATGGTCACAACCTCTGGGCGTTTACTGGTGACAAAACAGAGTCCATGAATCAGGATGGCTTTTAAGGTAGGGCAGAGATGGTCTGAGGGAAAACGGGTCAGCCAAGGCTTATGGTGACTGTCCTTGAATCCCGACTGTAGTTTAACCTCAAACAGTCGGCTGGTGGTATGACATTTGCATCATTTTCTGGGTAAGGGACAAGAGACCCTGGCCCAGGTGTCTCTGAGGGCTGCGTTGGGGGACCCTGTGGGGACCTTACCTGTACAACTCAAACCCTCTGTCCCTCCGCCTTCCTGCTTTCCTTGTCCTCGTCTTCCTTCTAAATCTCTCCTGCGGTCTCCCCAGCCCCTTCCTAAGCTGCCAGTGGCATCTCTGGGTGTTCTTCATCCCTGTGGGTGCCATCTGACCCTGAGAAAGCCCTAGTGCTTGATGCAGGGGGACCAGAGAGTGCCACGAGAGCTGAAAGAGGAAGAAGCCGCTGTTTCAATTTGCCTTTTGCTAGAAGGGGATCCCTGGGTTGGAACCTGGTTATAGGGCAAAAAGGGCCCCAGACTAAGGGGGTTCTGGTGTTTATCGTTCATTTGACAAACAAGGAGACAGTCACCCAGGAAAGAAGGGACCCTGCAGGCTGGGGCTTTTGCTCCGACCTCTCTCAGACCACGTGGCCTCTTTACTAAAGGCACAAAGCTGGGGGAGGTGGGAGGGGAGGATGTTCTCTGCACTCAGAACACTTGAAAGGGACTTGGCAAAGCCAACTCAAACACAGGAAACAAACGTAAGAGCAACGACAAAACACCAAACTGTGAAGAGTAAATGCAGAAAGGCTGAGTAGCAGCTGGGGCCCAGCCCGAGGCGGGGTGGGGGGATGGGAGTGGGATGGCGGAGACTCAGCTCTGACCCCCATTTGCTCTGGAAGTGACTGCACTTGCCTGTTGGGAAGTAGACACTGAAAGACAGTCATTTAGACTCAACCCCCATGGACGAAGCTGAGTTTTTCCAGTGAGGCTGGGCAAGGCTGGGTCACGCCCTGCTAACCCCAACCCCCAGTAGAGTCTCACTCATGCCTCCTGTCCCTCTGTCCCCAAGCTCTGCACTCCTATTCTGGAGCTGACTCAGCCCTGCCACCCCTGCCCTGTGCCCTGCTTCAGGACTGCTTCCTTCTTCCCCACGCAGTGAATCTCCTCCAGAGATGGGGAGGGACACTGCCAGGCTGCTCTCGCGGCCCTCCCCATCTTGTCTGGGGTCTCAAACCCCACCCCAGCTCTGCCCTCCCACCCCGGGTAAGACAGCTGCATGGCTGCATGGCTGCACAGGGAGAGCTGCTCTTGGTTTCCTTCCATCATGAAAGAAGCTATTTTGGACTCTGCACCAACCTGTGAGATACTTTCACATACACTTTCTCATGTAGTCCCTGCAAAAGCCCTGCCATGTATTATGTTCATTGTACAAATAAGAAAACCAAGGCTCAGAAAGGCTTGTTAACATGTCCAAGGCCAAACAGCTAATGATGTAACTAACACACACTGGACACTTCCTATGGAACCAGGCACAGCACCAAGGGCTTCACCCTTCAGAGGTAGGTGCTATTTTGAGTCCCATTTTATCAATGAGGAAACTGCAGCACAGAGCAGTTAAATAACTTGTCTGAGGTCACACAGCTAGTAAGGAGCCAAGCTGGGATTTGAACCCAGATAACCTGACTCTGTAGTCTGTGCTCTGAACCACTATATCTATTGCTTCTTATATTGCATATTTATTTGCTAGGCTGATGAAATGGGCTTAAAACACAGGTTTGTCAGTCATTTCCACTCAACTTGCTGCTTCAGCATTTTTTATCAGTGCAGGATGAGAAACGATGAGGTTTTTTTGTTTTGTTTTTAGAAGCTTATGTGATGCTTTTAGTCACATAAAACTCCCAGCTTTGTTGAATGACTGGATTTCAAACCAACACACACACACACACACACACACACACGGCTTATCATTCTATAAACAATGTTTCTGAACATAAACCCTCCCATGCATTGTCACCTCATCCATTGCCTGTCAAGAATCTCTTAGCAGTTCTGTCCCAGCCCATCAGCTAAGCCATGCAGCCACGTGTGAGCTGAACATTTGGCAAGCTGGTAATATTATTTTTAAGAAAAGGAAGAGAAAGAGGAAAAGAAAAAGGAGGAAAGGACGGTATTCTTATTTAATACTTCTGGGTACAGGGCCTGTCCCTGACTTTCATTCTCTCATTGAATCCTCACAACTACCTTCTAGAGCCGGTGCTGTCCTCACCTGTTTCACAAATAAAGAAAGCAGGGGTAGGCGAGAAGGAGAAGGGAACTACAGCTTTCGCCATTTAATCAACAGGAGGGGCCAGACCAGGGCCCTCAGCCCCACCACGCACATCTGCTAAGTCTCTGCTCTGTGCCAGGCCCAGAGCTGAGCACGGAGATCAGAGGAATGAGACCTGTCCTACCCCTTGAGAGTCTCACAGTCCTGACAGGTGGTCTACCACATGCTCCTCCACTGCACGACCACTCAGTCTACACCTTCTAGAAAGACTGAGTCAGGACACCAGTGTCCAGTTTGTTTACTTGGCTGGGAAGAGTCCTTTGAGCAGGAAAAAAAAAAAAAAGCAGTAATATTAAAATAAACGTTTCATTAAAAATTAAAATGTTCTATTTCCCAGCTGTTAATTATTAAATTCCACTGGCAATTCCAACATGTCAGCGACCCTGACTAGGAAGCCAGATGACAGGCTGAAAACGCAGGCCGTGGGGAAGAAGATGGGGTGGGAAGATGACTGAGATCAGCTTCCTGGATGAACCTCTGCTCAGAGCCCACCCCACCCCACCCTGAAAAAAAAAAAGACAAGTGACAGCAAGCAAACCACACATGTGTAAGAGCAAAAGATGTCCAAGGTTACCAAGATGGGGCTCTAAAAGGAGCACAAAGTACCAGGAAAGATGGGAAACTGCCCAAATGCCTTCTTTCCAAGCAGGGCACCCACTGTGTTACTTCAGCTTGTGGGGTTCCACCAGTACAGGCTAAAGGTTTCCCACAAAATAAAAGGGCCTCCATAGCCCAAACACACACCTCACTAGGTTATTGGTAGCTTTTACATTCTGTGTACTTAGTTATGAGTACATTGTGGTCCCCAAGGATGGGGAAGAGGAAGTGTTAAAATTCTATGAATCCTGCAGCAGTTCAAAACAGGTGTGGAATGCATGCAACGTGTTATTTACTGGACTCCTTCCAGGCAGCAGCACGTAGACAAGGGCTGATGGTGACATGAACAAGGGTGGTTGGTGGCTGTGGGATGGTGAGAAGGAGATGATGTGGGAAGAATTTGGGGGGAAGGGTTAACAGAGCATGTAAATGAATTAGACTGTGGGCTGGATGAAGGAAAGGCTGAAGGAGGAATCACAGAGGTCTCCTGGACTCTGGCTTGAGATGGGGAATGAGAAGAATGAGGGTGGGGTAGAATCAAGAACTCCATCTGGGTCACGTGAGACACAGAGAGGTGTCAGGCAGGCAGTCAGACACAAGCAGGGGATCAGGGAAAACCTTTGGACTAAAGATATAAATGTGGGTGTCATTCTCCCATGGATGGTGTCTAATGCCATGGAAATGGGTGAGAGCACATTGGAAGATGGTATAAAGAAAAGAGATGAGGATACTGGACTCAACCTCCAGAAACTAATAATATTTGATGGCTGGGAAGAGGGAGAGGCCTCAATTAAGGAGACTGAGAAGGGAGATGGGAGAAGTAGGAGGAAAATTAAGAGGATGTGATGATACAGAGAGTAAGTGATATTGATGTAAAAATGTATACACAATATACTTAAGATGTTTCAGACAGTTTACAGAAAAGGATACATTTCTATAAATATATTTGTTTGTTAATTCAATTGTTCATCTTTCATTCAGTTATGCAAGAAATATACCTTAGTTCCTGAGAAGGCTTAGATTTGGTGTCACTACAAATCAATATTCTTTAAATATCTGCTCACCAGGTGTTTGGAGGAGAAACTGAGCCGTGCGTGGGGGAGAGTGGACAGAGTGACAGCTGGTGGCTGTGAGCTGTTCCTCTACTCTGACCCCAGTAATTCAGCCCCGGCCCCGCCTTCCAAGTCCCACTCCGCAAAGCACAAGTACCACAGTGAAAGTGTGCTGCCCTCCTTTGAAGGGAGCTTGGCGACCATCTCTAGCTCATCTAGCTGGCCCTTGGCGCGGGGCACGGGGGCGGGGGTGTCTCAACCCCCCCCCCACACACACACACATCTAAGGAGCTTGTCAAAGCTACAGTGCCTCCATATTCTTACATTTCCAGGAATGGTTTAGCATCTCATAGATGGCTACCCTATGTCATTGTCCAGCTCTTCAAATGACACGTGGGAGGCCAAAATTCCCCATCCTTTCACACTGACATGGATCCCTTATTCCAAAACAATAAGAGAACTTGCCAGAACATGTTCAGTGTTTCCAGAGCCCAAGCTCCCTCATGCTGGAATAGATACTACTCTCCCCTGATCCTCCTATCTCTACAGCCACTCCTGCTCCTTTTCAGACTTTCCTTCCTCCACTGGCCCTGTAAAGGCTGATGTCAGACATCCACCTGGTGGCCTCATCCAGGCCTGCAGATCCCATTGCCACCTGTACTCTGATGGCTCCTCTTCCTACATCTCTACTACGTATCTTCTGCCACACTTACGGGCACTGCTATAGACTGACTATTGTGTCCCCCCAAAATTCATGTGTTGAAACCTAATCCCATACATGATGGTATTAGTGGGTGGGGCCTTAGGGAGGTGATTAGGTCATGAGGGTGGAACCCTCATGAATGGAATTAGTGCCCTTAGAAAAGAGACCCCAGGGAGTTCCCGCTTCCTTTCTACCACGTGAGAAAACAGTGAGAAGATGACCGTGTATACATTAGGAGGTGGGCCCTCATCAGACACCACATCTTCTGGGGCCTTGATCTTGGACGTCCCAGCCTCCAGAACTGTACAAAATATATTTTTGTTGTTTATAAGCCATCCAGTCTATGGTATTTTGTTATAGCAGCCTGAATGACAAAGACAGGCACCCTGTGAATCTCTGTCCAGATGCCCCACAAGTACCTGAATCCACACACATGCCCAGTTGAACTCATCGCCCCTCACACCCCCACTACCACTAACAGACCCTTTCCTGGTCAATGGCACCACCACCCACCAGTCTCTCAGGCCTCAAGGTCATCCCGGACAGCTCTTACCTCCTTACCCCCAAACCGCATCCTTCTAAGTCAGGTTGATCACACCTCCTTACCAATCATGGCAAATACTAGTTGCACACCTAGTGCCCCTACAGGACTGTGAACTTCTTGAATATAACCATACTGATTGATTTCTACTGTCTCCTGTGCCTAACACAATGTCTAGTACAGGATTTTTGACCATGACTCATCGTGAGAAATACATCTTCTGTCACAAACACATATGCACATACACATATATACGGAAGCAAAAATTCCACTAAACGATACCTATCCTTACTTCACGTGATACCTTCTGACTTTCTACTTGATTTCAATTCTTTTAGAAGCTGTTTTGAACCCATTCAGCTAATTTCTGAACACATTAATGGGTAGTGACCGGTAGTTTGAAAAACACCAGCTAGCATATCATAGGTGTTTGATAAACATTTGTTGTATGTTAAAGAATGCGTGCATGGCCCTATGAGATTCTGGATCATCACTGCCATTTTACAGATGAGTTAACCGAATCATAGAATTTTCTTGCTCTGACTCTAGATTCTGTGGCTTTCCACAACACCCCATGGCCTATAAGAACACTTCCAGCCCTAGTATTTTGTGATTCATTTGCTGCCGCTGGCTAACTGCTGTCAGAATCACTGTAGTTGTTGCTCAAGCATTTAAGTCAAAATATCCAGCCTCTCAGTTTCTCATCTAATCTGTTTTCAAGGTCTAACAGATGCTAAGACTCTGTCTCCTCAGTCAGGAACGCTCTCCACGGCACTGTTGCCTATGCAGCCCCCCACCACTGCTGAGCTATGGATTTACTGAACTTGGGGTGATGCTTCTTTTCTTACTGTGGATTAAACCAGTCCGAGAGCTGAAGCTCTTCTTTGTCCTCCTTTCTTTGTTCCTTTGCTTTGTCTATGTCTTCTTCTTCGTGGTAACTGTGGGTCCTACATACAAAGGGAAAACAAGCTGAGGAAGGCAGGGAGGTGAGTAAGGATCCTGCAAAAACGGGTGCCAAGGGCTTCCCTGGTGGCGCAGTGGTTGAGAGTCCGCCTGCCAATGCAGGGGACACGGGTTCGTGCCCGGGAGGATCCCATGTGCCGCGGAGCGGCTGGGCCTGTGAGCCATGGCCGCTGAGCCTGCGTGTCCGGAGCCTGTGCTCCACAACGGGAGAGGCCGCAACAGTGAGAGGCCTGCGTACCGCCAAAAAAAAAAAAAAAAAAACAGGTGCCAAGGCAGAGAACATGTGCACCTAGTGAATGTCTGGAGAAAGGTTCATGATACTATACGTTTATTCATAAAGACGTACTTTTGATGCAAAGGTGCAGTACTCACCTTTCTTATTATCCTCCCAGGTCAGCACAGTTAGCAATTTAATGACCCAACAACCATCAGGTTATTTCAGGGGGAGGGAAACTTCATAAAACCGTCCTCATGAAAACGTTTTAGCGTATGACAGTCTTTCCTGCAATCCCAACTTTAGCCTGAATTTCACTCGTCCTCAAGTTAAATGGGAAAAAAACAAAAACATGAAAACCAAACTTAATGTCCCAGTCCCAACCATGAAATAGAGTCCTTGTGTACTTCCAATAGGCCAGAAAGACAAGTGACTGGGTTTATGGCTGTGAAACCACTTTTTTTTTTTTTTTTAACATCTTTATTGGAGTGTAACTGCTTTACAATGGTGTGTTAGTTTCTGCTGTATGACAAAGTGAATCAGCTCTACGTATACAAATATCCCCATATGAAGCCATTTTATTTGGACTCTATAGCGTCGGGTGGATAAACAGACCATCGTCTGACCGCCTTACCCATTGTTAAACCAGCTTGGAAACCACCAGCCCTTCTGAATGCTGCTGTCACCAACTTCTGGGTTTCTAAGAAATGAAAAAGATGACAAACGTTTTTAGAAAATGAGGCAGTCCCAAACTGGGGGGTGTCCAAACTCTTTTTATGGCAGGTCACTTAAAAAAATTTTTTTTTAAGTCACTAATTCATAAAATGAACTGAAGCGACGCTGCTCTAGCTGAATGAGAGATGGACCTGACACTCCCTGGATCTCTCCTCCCTTGGGCGTCCCCTGGCGCTCAGCTCATCCAGGGAGCCCTAGCAGGGAGAGAAGGAGAGAAGAATGACAAGATGTGGAGGTAACTAATACATAGCTCTGGGTCCTGGATCTGCCACTTACTAGTTGTGTGACTGTGATCGGACATTTTCCCTCTCTGAAGCTTGATTTTCTCCTGTGAAAAGTTAGATGCTAATAATAACAACAACAAGAATAAATCCACAATGCAGGTGGCTTTGAAGACTCAACAAAGTAGCATACGTAAAAGAGCTTTCTAAGTTGAAAATTACTGTAGCAAGTCGGCGTCTTTCAAGAAAACAGTGCACGTTTCCAAGAATGATCTCTTTTGCTAAACGAGGAGAATTTGAGTTGCTACAAAGGTCAGTAGTGACAGACTCAGGAAATCTGAGGGTCTCTAAACCAGAAAGAAGCTCAGCAATCTGTAATCAGAACCACTTTCACCACGCACATGCTAAAGTGTCCACATTCACTGTGAGAGTCTCTCCAAGGTGGGCACCTTCCAGAGGAGGGAAAAGAGGGGGAAGCCAGGGGATACAATGCCCTTCGGTTGGACAAATAAGGTGGTGAGGCATGAATGGGTATAAATAATAAGAAACCTATTTTAAAGCCCATCTACTTTCAAGAAGTGCTTGAGATGGTTTATGATTAAGAAGGTATGGTTACTTTTCTTTTTCCCACTTGCATAAAATGAATAAATTTTCCAAAATTAAAAAAAAAAGAAGGTATGGTTACAATAAATACGGAAACAATACAAGAATAAAGACAAAACTAAACAAACCAAACAAAAACAAAAGGAAACAGAGGAACATTTTAGTCACTCAGGTAGGTGTTTTCACATGACTTGGGTCATCTCAGCCACTCTGTGAGAATAAAATTTTACCTTTATTTTTATTTTATGGCTGAGATATTGGTTGAGTGGGTTTGAGCAAATTGCCAAGATCCCATGGCATGTAAGCACAAAAGCCAGGATTTAACACCAGGGGAGAAATTATGTCAGAAATAAAGGCTGAGAAAAGTACAAGTTAAGTTAAGCACAACACTTTGCTCTGAGCTTCGTGGCAACCAAGACAAAGACAGAAAAATGAAGGCTTACAGAGCCCTAACTGCCAATCATCATCATCATCATCCTCCTCCTCCTACACACACTAATTCATTGGGAAACCCAAACGTTTTTCCTGATCCTTTGTCTCAACAAAATTTCTTGCAGGGGTCTTTATACAACATGTAGTGGGCTGCATAATGGACAATATCTACCCTGATTATTTTTATGAGTAAGGCAGGAATGTCCTCCAGACAACACTACTTAAAGAGATAGATAGTTGATGAGAAGCAAGGACAAAACAAGAGTCACGGCTCTATAAAGGCAAGACTAGGAGGCTGGAGGAGTACAGGCCAGGCCCTGGGACCCCTCCCCTCCACCTGTGACCAGAGCTGCATCACCACCTGCCATGTTAAGAATGGACTGTAGGGGTGCCAGAGTGGACATGGGAGGCATCCCATAGATATCTAGAATTCAAAGCACTTACTTTGACTGGTTTATCCAGAACAAAGAGGCTTCTGGGCTAAAAGCAAATGAGAAATAAAAACATATCATGTTACTTTTAATTTGGAGAAAACCATTATCATTGAAGTCCTGGGCTGAGTTGAGAGCTTGGGTTTTGTCTACTCCCAGGTTTCCACCTTCCTTTGAGATAGAACCAATGATATCAAGGGACTTCAGTCACTTCTGGATTACTCAGAACAAGGGGTGGGAAAAAAGTCTCTGGAGAATCTCAAATCTCAGTTAAAAAAAAAAAAGACAGTAGCTCTCCATTGTCCAGGGTGGCCTTGCTGAGGGAGAGGCTCCACAGACAGGTCCCCTCCTGCCACCTGCTCAGGAATCACCCAGGATTATCTTAAAACCAATGACTGCAGAGCCAGCATACCACCAGCTCAGAGCCGTCTACAGAGCCGCCTCAAAGGGCATTTCTTTAGCTAACGAAGGCAGTGAGACCATCTGAAGGCACCTACAAGACTGGACCAGCGACTGTATGACTCCTCTAGGGGACCACCTCCCTTCATTCAACAAATACTTGCTGACAGTGTGTTACATGCCACGTGCTGGGGATATGGCATTGACTGAGACAGACACTGTCCCTAGGCGTCCTTGTGATACAGACAAGCTACTGGGGAGAGCAGAAAAAAAAAACAAGCATAAGTAACCAGGAGCACTTAACAGGAAGACCTGGAAGGCTTCCCAAAGGAGGGGATAATGTTTTAGCTGAGTTCTGAAGGATAAATAGGAGTCCAGGGGAAGAGGAACTGGGACGAATGTCCCTAACAGAGAAAAAAATATGCAAAGGCCCTGAGAAAGGAAGGAGGCACTTAAATGTGCAAGGAAATAAACAGAGAAGTAGCCAGAGGTCCCCTCGCTGGGGCCTGCTGGGGATTTTGCCCTTGAAGAGTTTTAGGCAGGAGACGAATAGGGTCCTATCTGTAGGCCTTGTGAGAGTAGATATGGGTGACTAGTCATGAAGTGCTGGCAGTGGTCCAGGTCCAGGCCCAGGTCAAGGCAGCCAGGGAGATGGAGGGAGAGGAGTGCACTGACTTGAGAGACATTTGGGGGGTAAAGGGACAGGGCTTGTAGTACTAGATTCCTCCACTGTTTTGTGCACGGAAGCTGTGCCCAAGGGCTAAACCTTACTTGCTCACTTCTCCTCCCTGTGAATAAAAAGGAGAGAGCTTGGTAGAAACAGTCCTGGACCTGGGCTCAGGTAGTGCCCTGGCTCAGCGCCTTTCTGGCCCCAGCTGCCCTCATCTCTGAAAAAAATAAACGACTAATATTTGTTTCAGACTCTGCCTTCTGCCCCTACTGGGAGTCCACATCTCCTGGTAGGAGTAAAATGCATGCCCTCTTTCCACCTATGGTTTCCCCTCTGAGCTCAATACTTGTGGACCAAGCTCTAACAATCCCTTGTTTCTAAATCTGTTTATTGATCTGACAATATTCGTAATAGCTAATACTTGTCCAGGGACTGTTGTAAGCGATTGACATGTATTAGCTCATTAAATCCTCACAACAATCAGTGAAGGAGGTTCTATTCTTCCTCAGAGGCACCCGACACATTAAGTGGTTTCGTTCAAGGTCGTACTGCTAGGAAAAGAAACAGTATCTGAACCTGGGGAATCTGACTCCACGCCCTACAAGAGGAGGAAGGGAGAGGGGAGAGGAGGGGGCGGGCCCGCTGCAACTCAGCACTCAGACCCCCACCTGGCACTCAGGGCGTCAATCTGCAGATTCAGATTCACGACGTTGTCCCAACTTTTTTTTTTTTGCGGTACGCGGGCCTCTCACTGTTGTGGCCTCTCCCGTCGCGGAGCACAGGCTCCGGATGCACAGGCTCAGCCGCCATGGCTCACAGGCCCAGCCGCTCCGTGGCATGTGGGATCTTCCCGGACCAGGGCACGAACCCGTGCCCCCTGCATCAGCAGGCGGACTCCCAGCCACTGCGCCACCAGGGAAGCCCTTGTCCCAACTTTTAAATTTGCCATCTTGCCCTTTGCACCCTCCTCTCCCAGAAGCCTTCGACATCTCAGGTCACAGGCAACACCCACACTGCAGTGTATGGCATTTGACACGTATTCATCCTTCAAGGCACAGCTCAAACGCCACCTCTTCTGTGCCTTCCTTGGTATGATCCTAGCACAGTGCCTGGCACACAGTAGGTGCTCAATAAATATTTGTAAATGAAGGCAAAAAAAATAGATCCCTCTCCAAGCCAAACATAAATCTTTGCCTTACTGAACGCTCACGGTCCCTTTTCTCTCCCTCTGATATCCTTCCTCCACTTCACATTGTTGGTTATTTTTTTTTTTAATTTAACTTTATCTAGGCTTTTGGTTTGATTTTCTAAATTTAACTGTAAAAAACATATTTATTTATTTATTTATCGTTGTGTTGGGTCTTTGTTGCTGCGCATGGGCTTTCTCTAGTTGCGTCGAGAAGGGGCTACTCTTCGTCGCATTGCATGGGCTTCTCATTGCGGTGGCTTCTCTTGCTGTGGAGCACGGGCTCTAGGCGCACGGGTTTCAGTAGTTGTTGCACGCGGGCTCAGTAGTTGTGGCTCACGGGTTCTGGAGCACAGGCTCAGTAGTTGTGGTGCACAGGCTTAGTTGCTCCGTGGCATGTGGGATCTTCCCAGACCAGGGATCAAACCCGTGTCCCCTGCGTTGGCAGGCGGATTCTTAACCACTGTACTACTAGGGAAGTCCTGCATTTTGGGTTTATTGGTGTGTACGTCTGCTTGCTCCATCCAAAGCATAACCCCTTGAGGGTAGGAATTCTCCTTGGCTCACACTGTATCCCTCACAGCACTCGGCATGAACAACCAGCTCAAGAAGGAGCCCCAGACGACAAATCAGATCTGAGTTCCAGTTAGAACTTGGACATAAATTCACTGTTAAGTCATTTCACCTATTTGGTCTCCATTTTGTCACTTGAAAAATGGGAACTCTCAACTAAAGGAACGGTTGTAATCGTGGGTCAAGAATGGGCTGCAATCAGACAGCCCCGGACCTAAATCTTCCTGAAAATGTGACTTTGAAAATTCACATTTAACATTGTGGAGACTCAGTGTTCCTCATCTGGAAATGCTGACTAATACTTACTTGCAGGCCTATTTTAAGAACTGGAGGGAATGCATAGTGAAGTTCCCGGCACCTGCAAATGCTCAATAACTAGTAGCTGCTATCATCAAAATCACCCTCACTATCATTACTTTATTATAAATTTTAAGATTTCTTCCATCTCGAAAATTCTAAGAATTTTTATTTTTATCCAGCCTCAAATCAAACATTCTTTCAGGATGCTCTACTGACAATAGTTCTCTTTCCTAATCAGTTGATGTGTTCGATTGAGTTATTTTACAACCCTTTTTAGCTACAGTGCTGCCCACCTGTCTAAGGTTAGTGCCCTCAGCTCACCTCAGATCATAACATGGGTCAATTCACAGGGTGGCAAAGAATCTGCTGCCTTTTAAACCTCTTGCAGACATTCAAATAGATTCCTCACATTGAAGAATTATGTGGCAGCAGTCTGGGTGCCAGACTATGGCCCTGAAGAGCAGCCAGAACCTGCTCCAGTTACTGTGCAGAGAAGAGTGTGCCCAGCACTGAAAAATAACCCTCTTCATGGGAGGCTAGTGCCAAGATGCACATTTGGGCCTTTGGCTCCCATAATTTAATTTTGTGAAGTACCCAAAATATGGAAGTATGACTCTGGCTGCAATTCAAAACACCAAGGTTATCCAACCAAGTGTTCAGAGCTTGAAGGTTACCTACACAAGCAACTCAATTCAGGGGAGGAACCCGAAGGGTGCTTGCTCTTCTGTTGGATTCTTCCAACTGCTAGAACTCTTCCTTCTATTATCTGCCAAAATCCCCTGTCCTATTCTGCCCTCTGAGCAGATGATGAGGATGGCGGTAATGATGATGATGATAATGGTGATAGCAGCTAGCATTTACTGAGTGTGTTGCCCTAAGTGCTTTATACACAATAACTTATTGAATCCACCAACCCTATGAAGCAGGTACTACTGTTATGCCCATTTAAAAAAAAAATAATCCAGGTTTACTAAAGCTTTTACAGGTATACAGACTGGTGTGCTCCACGAATACACTCACAAAGACAGGGAGAACAGCCTGTCTTCATCAGTCATTTCTTTTTTTTTTTTAACTTATTATTTTATATTGGAGTATAGTTGATTAACAATGTTGTGAAAGTTTCAGGTGTACAGGACAGTGATTCAGTTATACATATACGTGTATCTATTCTTTTACAAATTCTTTTTCCATTTAGGTTGTTACATAATATTGAGCAGAGTTCCCTGTGCTATACAGTAGGTCCTTGTTGGTTATCCTTTTTTTTTTTTTTTTTTTGCGGTACGCGGGCCTCTCACCGCTGTGGCCCCTCCCGCTGCGGAGCACAGGCTCCGGATGCACAGGCTCAGCGGCCATGGCTCATGGGCCCAGCCGCTCCGCGGCATGTGGGATCTTCCTGGACCAGGGCACAAACCCGTGTCCCCTGCATCGGCAGGCGGACTCTCAACCACCGCGCCACCAGGGAAGCCCTGGTTATCCATTTTAAATACAGCAGTGTGTACACGTCAATCCCAAACTCCCTAACTATCCCTCCCCCAACCCTTCCCCCCGGTAACCATAAGTTTGTTCTCCCATTTTTAAAGATAGGGAAACTGAGGAACAGTGTGGCTGAGTAACTTGCCCAAAGTCACAGAGGAGTTAAGTGGTGGCACAGGACCAGCCCCAGGCAGCCTAGCTCCAGACTCCAGCGAGGATATTTCCTCAGCCCTCAAGTATCTAAGGAAGCCCCAGGAACTCCCTGCATCCAACACTGAGTCATCTTTTCTTTGGACTAAGTACCCACAGTTTCAATTCAAAAGACCTGGTTTATAGACCACTTCAACAGGGTCACTCTCTAGCTTGTCTTGTTTTTCCTTAAAATGAGTTGTTCAGAATGAAACAGGATAACACTCCAGAAGAGGTGAGACCTATGCAGCACCCCAGGGAATAACAGCTCTGGAGTCTAGGGAATCCTCCTTCTACTGATGTACCTGAAGGTGCAGTTCCTTTATAAGTGGACAAGATTGTCCTGCTGGCTCATCAAATCTTAGAATTTAAGAATTGAAAGAGACATTCTAATGTTCATCCAGGCCATCATCTTGAACTTGGGAGGCTTCTAAGACACTTCACCATGAAAATATCAATGGTGGGCTTCCCTGGTGGTGCAGTGGTTGAAAGTCCGCCTGCCGATGCAGGGGACACGGGGTCGTGCCCCGG